CTCCGATATCCGATCCAGTAATTTAGGTCAGTATCGGACCGATACCGATACGTAATATCGGATCGGTCCATCTCTAGTGTAAATTGTATATGGTGTTAAATAGACCTATACTACTGTACTTTAATGTTGTTCATAAAGGTGGTACTTTAAGAGCCATATATTTTAAGAGGTGGTACTCATTGTGAAAAGTTTGAGAACCAATGTACTAGAGGTTTTACATATTCTTTTCAATGCAACTTTTCATTGTCACTCAAAGTACCAAGCATTTGGAGGAGCGTCCTATAGAACCTCTCAACAGCATTGGCTCTGGGATGATACAGTGTTGTACGTATCTTTTTCATGCCATCAATCTTGCATAGTTTGCTTATTGTGTTCAATTCAAAATCGGGGCCCTGATCGCTTAAGTCTGTCTGGGACACCGTTATGAACAATAAACCTTTCCCAGAAGACTTTTGCAACAGTGCATGCTCATTGATTGGGTGTAGGGACAGCCATTGCAAACTTAGTGAAGTCATCAATCATAACTAATACATCTTTTCTGTTAGACTGCTCTGGCTCAATAGATAGATAAACTATAAAGAGGAGGACTACCTGTCTGAATGTTCATGAGAGGGGCTGCCCTCTCACGTCTACACTTCCGGCAGACATCACACTCACACACACTGATCAAATCCTCTGCTAGCAAACGCTATGGCCCTCAACTGTCCATCCTGAAGTTGGTAAAGAGCTGCATCGAGGTCAATGGTACTAGCGTCCGTGTGGAGGATATAGGGGAGTTTGGGGCATGCAAAACCCAACGCTGGGGCTGAGATAAACGTTCAAACAGATCATTTGTGAGTCCATCTCTGGCCAAATGGCTCTTTTGGTGAAAACAGTTCTGGCACTGAATTAAGCATATTTGTGACACAATCTTTCCATTCAGCAGACAAGTTACTTCCAAAGTCAAAACTGATCTTTTTAGACTTAGTACGACTCTTCTGACTGGTGATATACACTGAGGCTTCCAAAACTGCTGTCTGCCCTGCTTCCACCACACACTTAAAGGTGTTTATTGAAGTCAGTACATGGACGCACACTACTCTGCATTGCATAACTGCTAACTGAGGTCATGGCTAGTTTCTGAGTAGGAAAACAAAGTCTCTTAATAGTCCAAACACACTTAGCTCCCACGACAACAGCTCCCAATGATGTATTTTAAGTCATAGCTGACAAGTCAAAGTGTGGAAATGCCCAACGTTTGCTGGTTTGCCAACTTTAGAGCAATAAATGTGAAGGTGGTGGTGTTTCAGATCTGCTCTCAGTGACATGTCACACTCATCTTAACAGGTGTTTTCCATCAGCTAGCAAAGTAAAAAAAAAAAAACGGTAAAAGCACTTCTCCGCCAAACTCCAAAGTACAGAAATATGTAAGTAAGACTCAGATTAAAATGGACATGGCTTCATGACTTTTTTTATATTTAATAATATATGTGCAAGATCTAAAAGTAGACAAACTGAAACCAGTAAAAGAAATAAAACAAAGATTTTCCTGAGAATACATTATGAGTGAGGAGAAAAAGTATGCAAACCTCTAGGATTACCAGCAAATTTATAGCAGAAATTAGAGTCAGGCCTTTTAATCAATGGGATGATCCAGTACAGGTGAGCACCTTGTTTTTATTCAACAAAATGACTTGAAGATCAGCATTACCCTCTACGTGAGTCAGGGAGGTCACAAAGGAAGACAAGGTAACTCTGAAGGCCCTGAGGTTATCTGGTGTTTAGGGCAGGGCTAGAAGGAGAAAGCACTGCTCTCCAAAAAGAACGCTGCTGCTCATCTACAGTTTACTAAAGATGACATAGATGAGCCACGAGACAATGTTCTGGATGGATGTGGCCAAAATAGCATGTTTACTTTAAATAAGTGTTCAGTTTGGAGAAAAGACAATAACAGAATTTGGCATAACTACATCTGTAAAACACTGTGGTGGTGGTGGTATTATGGTTTCTACCTGTTTAGTTACCACTAAACCAGAAAAGCTTGCCATCAATGATATTAAAAGCTAGGAATCTTTCAGTAAATTCGCAAGGAAATTATCGTGACATCTATTTATGAACTAAAACAAGTTGGTCATGATAAGAGGAGCACAAGTACCTC